CCCAGACATATACCACCTTGAGATGAAAAACTCACAATTTTTTTACTGTAATACATATATATTAAAATATTTTGCAAATAATACTTGCTATTTCTAAAGTTTTCTTTACATACAGTTTCATCGCTCTGCGTCACCTAATATATGCTGCCTTATACGAGGTGATGCCATGGATGGCACAAGAGCCAGATTAAGTCCACATAAAAATCGAGTTTCCCTGTGTTGAGGGCAGGGGGGTGAAATGCAGTTGGCCGTATTCGGTTGAGCAAAAACGTTGGGTAAAAAGTAGGCCCAGATGCGGAAGGAAGATTTGGACATTTTTTTTGAATAGCTGATCATTAGCACATTGATACCTCAAATCCTGACATTCTCGCCACGCCCTTAGAGATTTAATTACTTGTGAATGGTAAATAAACGAACGTCTACCTGAAGAAACCAGCTGAAGGAAGATAATGCCAGTCAATATTTTCAAGATAGATATTTTCAAGACAAGATATAATTTTTACATCGACCGCATAAAAGTCGTGTGTTCGGCAAGCTGAGATCAATTTGAGTTTGGCTTTGAAGAAATTGAAGAAAGAAAATCTGAAGAAAGTAGAAGATAAAACAGTCGAGAAAATGAAGTTTGGCATCGCAGTTCTTGCTGGTTTGGTGATTTTGGGTCACATACAGTGTTGGTTACATTTGTTCACCAACTCTTTTACCAGTCCTTCATTGGGCATCCTCACGATTCGTACTCCTCTGTATTTCATTTCCGAAGGCACAATTTTCATATGAATGACCCAAGTTTCAAATTTCTATATGTTTATCCTCAAAATAGGCTAGATCAGATCTGGGAGTCCAAATATATCATATTATGTTGGACCGATTCAAACTGGATCCAACTTCATGTGCAGGTGACATTTACTCAGGAACCTTATAATACGATTCCTTGCATGATCTGTTGGCATATTTTTATAATTCCTCCCACTGAATTTCATTTCCGTATTAGCAATACAAGTACAAATATATATTTCACATATCCATCGCCCCCAGTTTCCGTGCAAATCTCAGTTTATCTTCAGAATAAACCGAGTGAAGGGCCACTCGCTCAAATTAAGGAAAAAAACTAACAGATTAAACTAACAGGAAAAAAAAGTACAGATTGGTTGAAGATGAAATTCGACTTGAAGAAGCTTTACGTTGAGTTACAAATTAGCAAAACAATTCGTTGCAGAGATAAGAACCGCCTACTTCTTGACAATGACACTTTATGATGTCGTATTGTGTTGAGTGGAAATCAAATTTATGAGTCTTTGGGTCTGGTTCTCCATGCAGGATCCAAATTTTTGTGGGTATTTTCTTTTTTACGTGTCTTTTTACGTTTTGTCCACCGTTCTCATAGAAACACCAACATTATGTTGAGCAATGAATAACATAAACTTCCAATACTAAAAGATTCACAAATGTTTACACAATTTCTGCAATACGTCACATAGTCTTGGCATAACTTGTGATTATAACTCACAACTTGTTTTTCCTGAGAGTAAATAGAACAAAACTCAAATCCTCCCAAATTTTGTCATCTCGTGATGTGGCATTTATTTCAGCTTTTTTTGGATCTGTTGGGGATTTTGACCTTGAAACTGACTTAGGGAAGTCAACAAGGAAGTAGTTGTTGACCTTCTGTCATTGGATGAAACTATTTTTTTTTGACGGAGTCTTGGGATAATTCTGCCATTGCAGAAGCGGGTCACATGCAGCGTTGGTTACATTTGTTCAACCAACTCTTTTACCAGTCCTTCATTGGGCATCCTCACAATTCGTACTCCTCTGTATTTCATTTCCGAAGGCACAATTTTCATATGAATGACCCAAGTTTCAAATTTCTATATGCATGTTTATCCTCAAAATAGGCTAGATGAAATATCAGAACTCGAAGTCCAAATATATCATATTGTTGGACCGATTCAAACTGGATCCAAATTCATCTGCAGGTGACATTTATTCACGAACTTTATAATACGATTCCTTGCATGATCTGTTGGCATATTTTTATAATTCCTCCCACTGAATTTTATTTCCGTATTAGCAATACAAGTAAAATTGTATATTTCACATACTCATCGCCCCCAGTTTCCGTGCAAATCTCAGTTTATCTTCAGAATAAACCGAGTGAAGGGCCACTCGCTCAAATTAAGGAAAAAAACTAACAGATTAAAGTAACAGGAAAAAAAAAGTACAGATTGGTTGAAGATGAAATTCAACTTGAAGAAGCTTTGCGTTGAGTTGCAAATTTGCAAAACAATTCGTTGCAGAGATAAGAACCGCCTACTTCTTGACAATGACACTTTATGATGTCGTATTGTGTTGAGTGCATGGAAATCAAATTTATGAGTCTTCGGGTCTGGTTCTCCAGGATCCAACTTTCTGTGTGTTTTCTTTTCACATTTTGTCCATCGTTCTCATAGAACCACCTAAAATGAAATACTAAACTTGCAATACTGAAAGATTCACGAATGTTTTCACAATTTCTGCAATACATCACAGAGCTCTGGCATAACGTTTGACTCAATTTAAAACTTGTTTTTACTGAGAGTAAATAAAATGAGACTCGAATCCTCCCAAATTTCGTCATCTCATTGTTGTGGCATTTGTTTCAGCTTCTTTTGGACATATTTGGGGATTTTGACCTTGCAACTTGCTTTCAAAAGTAAACAATTATTATTGTGGTTTTATTGTTACCGCATGGAAATCGTTCTATCAGGAGAACAATACATCTCACTAGAGATCACGGAGTCTCAGCTTCCGGCATATCGAAAGCATAAAAGTGAAATGTTTGCGAACTCAATCTATATTCCAGTTTGGAAACCGAAGAGGAAGGAAGATTGAAGATTGATGAAAGTTAAAGTGAATCCGACAATGAAACTTTGCATTGTATTATTTGTTGCTCTGGTCGTATGTCTCTCTGAATCAGGTATGCCACAATAGTCCATTGTGAAGTTACCAGCTGAAATACTTCTGGATCACAAATCTCATTACAAACATTATAATCAATGCATTACAAACACTCCTGAGTTAATCTATCGTGCACACAACCAGTATAAAGTATATAAACTAAACCAAACTTATAACATGCATTACAATACAGAATTTAACAGTTTATCGTATGTCAATTTTAGTTTATGGAGGTGAAAGTGACGTGCTTCGAGTTTTTGACGAGAATTTACAATTGACTGAGAAGGAGATGGAAGAATACATGAAGCAAGCGGATCTGGAAAAATATGGTTTTAAGAGAACCGAGGAGACCACCTTTGAAACGGATGAAAATGGAGAGAAAAGGAAAAGAAGAACCATCTACTACAAGGTCACCGATGATTGTTCTCGAGCTATGTTCTGGGAAGGAGTCCTTGAACAACGCTTGCCAGAGAAATTGAAAAATCTGAAAATCTTTTCAACCACCGTGAAAGAGATTCAGAATCGTATTGCTGGCAGGAAGACAAAGGAATGCACAGTCGGTTTAGAGATCCATCCAGATCGATGTCAGAAGTCCAGTGGCAGCAAACGCCGTGTGGCTCGAGGTTGCACTGCAGGTTGGTGCTTTATTTGTTGGAGTGCGGCCGTTGTTTACGGCAATTAAGGTGTTTCATCATTGAACGGTTGTAAACGGAAAACGGAAAAAGTGTCTTGATAGAATAATGTATTAGTAGTAAGCTACCTTTAATGCTGTAGTCTTTTTTTCAACATAGATAGCAAGAGAGTCAAATAAATTATCATTTCAAAATTCATCAAAATGGTGTTATTTATATCAAATGCATTACATTACTGGCTTAAAAATTTGATCACGATGCTGTCAAATTTCAACCAATTCGAATATGTATTTCCACTTACAGCGAAATCGTTCGCTAGCGAAATATTAGCATATTTTCTTATAGATTAGTGCGACTTGAGTGTTCTCAATTCAAAAGAAAATATGCAAATATTTCGCCAGCGAACGATTTCGCTGTAAGTGGAAATCCGCCTTAATGCAGCGACGCGGCTCCTGAATTTTTCTTCACCACGGCTTCGTTGATAAAATCTGCATGGTGGGATTGGCAGAAGAGCCACACGTGCAAGAGTTACGACTTCTTTCTCTGCAACGAATTGTTTTGCAAATTCGCAACGAGTAATAAAATGCCATTCACGCCCCATCGTTGACGCGAGATTTTCTCGATTTAAAAAGATCAACCAGATTGTGTGTGCATTGAATACGTTGATCCAAAAAACGACGTGTATGGAAGAATTAAAAGTTCCCCTTTCATGCTTTCTACAACGTGGAAAAACTTTAATGATTCCAATACACACTGGGGAGACTGGGGTTAAGTTCTGAGTCAGAACCGAGTACAAAGTCAAAGAATATGCGTGTATGCATTGTCGTTTAGTTTCGATCGAGTTAACATGCAGAATATATGCATTCATTCGTATATAGTTTTGATCGAGACACAGAATATGTATGCTGCAGGATGCTGCATTGTCGTTTAGCTTCGATCGAGTAAACATGTAGAGTATGCGTTCATTCGTATAGTTTACTAGTCGTACAATTTACTAACTTTTTGTGTGTTTTTCACATTTGGTCCATCGTTCTCATAGAAACACCTAAAATACTAAACTTGCAATACTGAAAGATTCACGAGTGTTTTCACAATTTCTGCAAAACATCATAGAGTTCCAGCGTAACTTGTCAATCAACTTACAACTTGTTTTTACTGAGAGTAAATAAAATGAGACTCGAATCCTCCCAAATTTCGTCATTTCATTGGTGTGGCATTTGTTTCAGCTTCTTTTGGACATATTTGGGGATTTTGACCTTGCAATTTGCTTTCAAAAGTAAACAATTATTATTGTGGTTTTATTGTTACCGCATGGAAATCGTTCTATCAGGAGAACAATACATCTCACTAGAGATCACGGAGTCTCAGCTTCCGGCATATCGAAAGCATAAAAGTGTGATGTTTGCGAACTCAATCTATATTCCAGTTTGGAAACCGAAGAGGAAGGAAGATTGAAGATTGATGAAAGTTAAAGTGAATCTGACAATGAAACTTTGCATTGTATTATTTGTTGCTCTGGTCGCGTGTCTCTCTGAATCAGGTCAGTCCACAATAGATCAGTCCATTGTGAAGTTACTTTCTACCTGCTGAAGTACTCCTGCATTACAAATCTCATTACAAACATTATAATCAATGCATTACAAACACTTTTGAGTTAATCTATCCTGCACACAACCAGTATAAAGTATATGAACTAAACCAAACTTATAACATGCATTACGATACAGAATTGAACAGTTTATCGTATGTCAATTTTAGTTTATGGAGGTGAAAGCGACGTGCTTCGAGTTTTTGACGAGAATATAAAATTGACTGAGAAGGAGATGGAAGAATACATGAAGCAAGCGGATCTGGAAAAATATGGTTTTAAGAGAACCGAGGAGACCACCTTTGAAACGGATGAAAATGGAGAGAAAAAGAAAAGGAGAACCATCTATTACAAGGTCACCGATGATTGTTCTCGAGCTATGTTCTGGGAAGGAGTCCTTGAACAACGCTTGCCAGAGAAATTGAAAAATCTGAAAATCGTTTCAACCACCGTAAAAGAAATTCAGAATCGTATCTCTGGCAGGAAGACAAAGGAATGCACAGTCGGTTTAGAGATCCATCCAGATCGATGTCAGACGTCCAGTGGCAGCAAACGTCGGGTTGCTAGAGGTTGCCCTTGGTGCCTTTTTTGTTGGAATGCGGCCATCGTTTACGGCAACTAAGGTGTGTCATCATTGAACGGTTGTAAACGGAAAACGGAAAAAGTGCTTGATAGAATAATGTACTAGTAGTAAGCTACCTTTAATGCTGTAGTCTTTTTTTCAACATAAATAGCAAGAGAGTCAAATAAATTATCATTTCAAAATTCATCAAAATTGTGTTATTTTTATCAAATGCATTATGAAATATATAGAAACTTAAACTTAAAAAAAACTTGATTATTATTATTATTATTACTGGCTTAAAAATTTGATTACGATGCTGTCGAATTTCAACCAATTCGAATATGTATTGCGAATCGCATTCCATGACGGTGTTCATTGTTGTATCGACGGAACGATGTGCACCAGTAAAGGCGGATTTCCACTTACAGCGAAATCGTTCGCTTCAGAAGTATTAGCATGTTTTCTTTTGAATTTTAACAGCGTAAATAGATAAGTGCGACTTGAGTGCTCTCAATTCAAAAGAAAATATGCAAATATTTTGCTAGCGAACGATTCGCTGTAAGTGGAAATCCGCCTCAGAGGCTGTTTACATGAGCTCGCGGTTACCCGAGATTCAACGAAGTGTGAGATGATTTTGATGTATTGAAATAAGCAGATAACAGTCATGATCCTGGCTGTCGTATAATCACCACAACAATAGCATGTGCTTGTTTGGTGTCATAAAGATTTATTTCAATACCTCAAAGTTCTCTTAAGCTTCGTTGAATCTCGGGTAACCGGGCTCATGTAAACAGCCCCTTAATGCAGCGACGCGGCTCCTGAATTTTTCTTCACCACGGCTTCGTTGATAAAATCTGCATGGTGGGATTGGCAGAAGAGCCACACGCGTGCAAGAGTTACGACTTCTTTCTCTGCAACGAATTGTTTTGCAAATTCGCAACGAGTAATAAAATGCCATTCACGCCCTATCGTTGGCGCGAGATTTTCTCGATTTAAAAGATCAACCCGGTTGTGTGTGTGTTGAATACGTTGATCCGAAAAACGACGTGTATGGAAGAATTAAAGGTTTGTCAAAATGTAAAAATACATTTTGAAGTTCCCCTTTTATGCTTTCTACTACGTGAAAAACCTTTAATAATTCCAATACACACTGGGGAGACTGGGGTTAAGTTCTGAGTCAGAACTGAGTACAAAGAATATGCGTGTATGCATTATCGTTTAGCTTCGATCGAGTAAACATGCAGAATATGCGTTCATTCGTATAGTTTTGATCGAGTAAACATGCAGAATATGCGTTCATTCGTATAGTTTTGATCGAGCACACTTGCAGAATATGCGTTCATTCGTATAGTTTTGATCGAGTACACATGCAGAATATGCGTTCATTTGTATAGTTTTGATCGAGTACACATGCAGAATATGCGTTCATTCGTATAGTTTTGATCGAGTACACATGCAGAATATGCGTTCATTTGTATAGTTTTGATCGAGTACACATGCAGAATATGCGTTCATTCGTATAGTTTTGATCGAGTACACATGCAGAATATGCGTTCATTCGTATAGTTTTGATCGAGTACACATGCAGAATATGCGTTCATTTGTATAGTTTTGATCGAGTACACATGCAGAATATGTGTTCATTCGTATAGTTTTGATCGAGTACACATGCAGAATATGCGTTCGTTCGTATAGTTTTGATCGAGTACACATGCATGCAGAATATGCGTTCATTTGTATAGTTTTGATGGATGACACAGAATATGCGTTCATTCGTATAGTTTTGATGGATGACACAGAATATGCGTTCATTCGTATAGTTTTGATGAAGTACACATGCAGAATATGCGTTCATTCGTATAGTTTTGATGGATGACACAGAATATGCGTTCATTCGTATAGTTTTGATGGATGACACAGAATATGCGTTCATTCGTATAGTTTTGATGGAGTACACATGCAGAATATGCGTTCATTCGTATAGTTTTGATCGAGTACACATGCAGAATATGCGTTCATTCGTATAGTTTTGATCGAGTACACATACAGAATATGCGTTCATTCGTATAGTTTTGATCGAGTACACATGCAGAATATGTGTTCATTCGTATAGTTTTGATCGAGTACACATGCATATGCGTTCATTCGTATAGTTTTGATGGATGACACAGAATATGCGTTCATTCGTATAGTTTTGATGGATGACACAGAATATGCGTTCATTCGTATAGTTTTGATGGAGTACACATGCAGAATATGCGTTCATTCGTATAGTTTTGATCGAGTACACATGCAGAATATGCGTTCATTCGTATAGTTTTGATCGAGTACACATACAGAATATGCGTTCATTCGTATAGTTTTGATCGAGTACACATGCAGAATATGTGTTCATTCGTATAGTTTTGATCGAGTACACATGCATATGCGTTCATTCGTATAGTTTTGATGGATGACACAGAATATGCGTTCATTTGTATAGTTTTGATCGAGTACACATGCAGAATATGCGTTCATTCGTATAGTTTTGATGGATGACACAGAATATGCGTTCATTTGTATAGTTTTGATCGAGTACACATGCAGAATATGCGTTCATTTGTATAGTTTTGATCGAGTACACATGCAGAATATGCGTTCATTTGTATAGTTTTGATCGAGTACACATGCAGAATATGCGTTCATTTGTATAGTTTTGATCGAGTACACATGCAGAATATGCGTTCATTCGTATAGTTTTGATGGATGACACAGAATATGCGTTCATTCGTATAGTTTTGATGGATGACACAGAATATGCGTTCATTCGTATAGTTTTGATGGAGTACACATGCAGAATATGCGTTCATTTGTATAGTTTTGATGGATGACACAGAATATGTGCATGTGCAGTGTTGTTTAGCTTGGATCAAAATTCACCAACTTTGCATGCATGGCTATGTTTTCCGTTTTCGGAATATTCGCCGCGAAAATTGGCAAGCGCCAGGCGACTATGTCTATAATAATAATTCAGTTAAATCGCAGACAAGCAATTTGCATGGGTATAATTCAACACTTGAGGGGAAAAAATATTTAGAGCGAAGCGCGTCGGTACAGACGGGAAAATGTAAAATATTTTTCCCAAGATAAAAAATGAAATGTTTCAATATTGCATTTCATGTAACCACAATGAAACAACGAAATCCTATTTGGTTTACCAGCTTGTTGCCTTTGTGTTTGAAAGCACCGGAAGACAAACATCTCAGTGTGTATTCCTATACAGCTACGTCAAAATTTTCGGGTTTCAACTGTAGTTTCTGTTCTTTGAACGTAGGCAGAACGTTGCTAAACTCACTGATTCAAAACAGATTCGCAAATTACATGAAAGTTCAGTGGGTTTAAATTTTCTGCAACAAGTATATCCACTCTTATGGCTATAGTTAATAGCCTTCTGAAGTGCTTACGTCACACAGTTTTCTATCTATACAATTTTGTCCCACTTGTTTCCCAGATTGCATTGCGATTTATTGTTCGAGACCGACATGACGTAAGCACCTCAAAGGTCTATTAAGACTCGTAGATTCGTGCTGTGATCACATGCACGAATTTGACCAATCAGAATGTAGGATCTGTTATATTCACTTGTGCAAAAATACTAATACTGAACATTGTTATGTAACATCATCGGAGTGACGGAGTATAAAGCATGACAATGTTCATCTCCCTTAACTTCAGGTCTATATTCTTTCGGATATTTAATGAGTTGTGTCATATAGAGATTTCTGATCTATATACGTACAAGTGCACTGTACACTTTTAATGCGCTTCGACTCTTGGCCCTCATACAGATCCTTACAACAAACTCGGTCATCACTCGACCTCATTTCGTCTCATTTTGACTTGTTTTTCTAAAGAGAAAATAAAAGAGACTCGGATGCCCCCAAATTTCGTCATTCTTGTGGTATGGCATTTGTTTCAGCTTTTTTTTGGGATTTTGACCTTGCAACTGACTTAGGGAAGTCAACAAGGAAGTAGTTGTGAATATTCTGTCATCATAGATGAAACTATTATTGTTGTCAGAGTCTTGGGAAAATTCTGCCATCGCAGAAGCGGGTCACATGCAGCATTGGTTACATTTGTTCACCAACTCTTTTCCTTCATCTATTGGGCATCCTCACGATTCGTACTCTCTGCATTTCATTTAATCCGAAGGCACAATTTTCATATCAATGACCCAAGTTTCAAATTTCTATATGTTTATCTTCAAAATAGGCTAGATATGAAATATCAGAACTGGAAGTCCAAATATATCATATTCTGTTGGGCCGATTCAAACTGGATCCAACTTCATCTGCAGGTGACATTTATTCACGAACTTTATAATACGATTCCTTGCATGATCTGTTGGCATATTTTTATAATTCCTCCCACTGAATTTCATTTCCGTACGTATTAGCAATACAAATACAAATATATATTTCACATATCCATCGCCCCCAGTTTCTGTGCAAATTTCTGTTTATCTTCAGAATAAACTGGGTGAAGGGCCACTCGCTCAAATTAAGGAAAAAAACTAACAGATTAAACTAACAGGGAAAAAAAGTACAGATTGGTTGAAGATGAAATTCAACTTGAAGAAGCTTTGCGTTGAGTTGCGAATTAGCAAAACAATTCGTTGCAGAGATAAGAACCGCCTACTTCTTCACAATGACACTTTATGATGTCATATTGTGTTGAGTGGAAATAAATTTACGAGTCTTCGGGTCTGGTTCTCCAGGATCCAACTTTTTGTGTGTTTTCTTTTTTACGTTTCTTTTTACGTTTTTTCCACCGTTCTCATAGAAACACCAACATTATGTTGAGCAATGAATAACATAAACTTGCAACACTGAAAGATTCACGAATGTTTACACAATTTCTGCAATACATCACATAGTCTTGGCATAACTTGTGATTATAACTCACAACTTATTTTTCCTGAGAGTAAATAAAACGAGATTCGAATCCTCCCAAGTTTCGTCATCTCGTGGTGTGGCATTTGATTCAGCTTCTTTTAGACCTGTTGAACATTTTGACCTTGCAACTCGTTGCAGAGATAAGAACCGCCTACTTCTTGACAATGACACTTTATGATGTCATATTGTGTTGAGTGGAAATCAAATTTATGAGTCTTCGGGTCTGGTTCTTTAAGATCCAACTTTTTGTGTTTTTTCTTTTCAAATTTTGTCCATCATTCTCATAGAAACACCTTAAATAAAATGCTAAACTTGCAATACTGAAAGATTTACGAATGTTTTCACAATTTCTGCAAAACATCACAGAGTTCCAGCATAACTTGTCAATCAACTTAAAAACTTGTTTTTACTGAGAGTAAATAAAACGAGGCTCGAATCCTCCCAAATTTCGTCATCTCATTGGTGTGGCATTTGTTTCAGCTTCTTTGGACATATTTGGGCATGTTGACCTTGCAACTCGCTTTCAAAAGTAAACAATTATTATTGTGGAAGGTTTTATTGTTACCGCATGGAAATCGTTTTATCTGGAGAGCAATACATCTCACTAGAGATCATGGAGTCTCAGCTTCCGGCATATCGAAAGCATAAAAGTGAGATGTTTGCGAACTCAATCCATATTCCAGTTTGGAAAACCTACCGAAGAGGAAGGAAGATTGAAGATTGATGAAAGTTAAAGTGAATCCGACAATGAAACTTTGCATTGTATTATTTGTTGCTCTGGTCGTATGTCTCTCTGAATCAGGTATGCCACAATAGTCCATTGTGAAGTTACCTTCTACCAGCTGAAGTACTTCTGGATCACAAATCTCATTACAAACATTATAATCAATGCATTACAAACACTCCTGAGTTAATCTATCCTGCACACAACCAGTATAAAGTATATAAACTAAACCAAACTTTTATATATATATATATAACATGCATTACAATACAGAATGAACAGTTTATCGTATGTCAATTTTAGTTTATGGAGGAGAAAGTGACGTGCTTCGAGTTTTTGACGAGAATTTACAATTGACTGAGAAGGAGATGGAAGAATACATGAAGCAAGCGGATCTGGAAAAATATGGTTTTAAGAGAACCGAGGAGACCACCTTTGAAACGGATGAAAATGGAGAGAAAAAGAAAAGGAGAACCATCTATTACTAGAAATACATGCATGCAGCAACCCCTCGCTATTTCAAACCAAGTACACAATTTCCTGAGTTAACCTGATCTAAACTTATATTATGAAATGACACAAAACTCAAATCAGTCTTAAAGTTTCCATCATTCAATACAAAAATAATCACAAAGCTAGTGTAAACATTGCCCGTTCAATTTTGCTGCATTATACCATGCCAGCAATTAAGTAACGGTTTAAAATCAAAGTTTGAAACGATTAAAACAGTACAAAATCTTCACAGACAAAGAAAAAACTTCAAATGTTATTTTATTCTGTAATTGCAGTCAACGCCGGCGGCTAAAAGTTTTAGTATACTTTATAAATATAGTGTGTATTTTTGATACAAAATTCAAATTACACTTTCAAAAACAATTTTTGAAGTTAAAGCAAAGGTGTAATAGCCCTTCACAGGTTTATGCGTTTGCAGAAAAACTGAAAATTTAACAAATGAACGGCATACAAAGCTGAAAAGTATACAAATACGGCTCATTCTTACCGCGAAACAAGTACGAGATAAACAAAATAAACACGTACCCTTTGTCTTTGAAAACATTTATAAGCTTGCAGATTATGAATTATTCCTCTTACACGGCTTTGTTTTGACTGTATCCACGTTCATCTTTGCTATCTGTCATGCTTCATATATCTTGTTTCTTCTCGTTTTACTTTCTTTGCACAAAGTTTATGAAACGCTTTTACAAAAATGTTTACGAAATGACAGTTAAATTGCTGACGTTCTCATTGAATTACAAACTTTCTGTCTTAGCCAATCAGAACGTTCGTTGATTACCAGTCTACACTCGTTCGCATTTCACGCATGCGCACAAGTACCATGACCATTGAACGTCCACGGTCCACGGTCCACGACATAGAATTTGAGCAACTTTGGATTCCGCTATGTTCTGTCAGAATACCCGGGTGTAATAAATCTCCCAGCGGAATTAGTACCCTCGCACGGCGCTTCGCGCCGGCTCGGGGACAAGGTCACCGATGATTGTTCTCGAGTCATGTTCTGGGAAGGAGTCCTTGAACAACGCTTGCCAGAGAAATTGAAAAATCTGAAAATCTTTTCAACCACCGTGAAAGAGATTCAGAATCGTATTGCTGGCAGGAAGACAAAGGAATGCACAGTCGGTTTAGAGATCCATCCAGATCGATGTCAGAAGTCCAGTGGCAGCAAACGTCGTGTGGCTCGAGGTTGCACTGCAGATTGGTGCTTTATTTGTTGGAGTGCGGCCATTGTTTACGGCAATTAAGGTGTTTCATCATTGAACGGTTGTAAACGGAAAACGGAAAAAGTGTCTTGATAGAATAATGTATTAGTAGTAAGCTACCTTTAATGCTGTAGTCTTTTTTTCAACATAAATTGCAAGAGAGTCAAATGAATTATCATTTCAAAATTCATCAAAATGGTGTTATCTATATCAAATGCATTATATTACTGGCTTAAAAATTTGATCACGGTGCTGTCAAATTTCAACCAATTCGAATATGTATTTCCACTTACAGCGAAATCGTTCGCTAGCGAAATATTAGCATATTTTCTTATAGATTAGTGCGACTTGAGTGTTCTCAATTCAAAAGAAAATATGCAAATATTTCGCCAGCAAACGATTTCGCTGTAAGTGGAAATCCGCCTTAATGCAGCGACGCGGCTCCTAAATTTTTCTTCACCACGGCTTCGTTGATAAAACCTGCATGGTGGGATTGGCAGAAGAGCCACAGGTGCAAGAGTTACGACTTCTTTCTCTGCAACGAATTGTTTTGCAAATTCGCAACGAGTAATAAAATGCCATTCACGCCCCATCGTTGACGCGAGATATTCTCGATTTAAAAAGATCAACCAGATTGTGTGTGCATTGAATACGTTGATCCAAAAAACGACGTGTATGGAAGAATTAAAAGTTCCCCTTTCATGCTTTCTACAACGTGGAAAAACTTTAATGATTCCAATACACACTGGGGAGACTGGGGTTAAGTTCTGAGTCAGAACCGAGTACAAAGTCAAAGAATATGCGTGTATGCATTGTCGTTTAGTTTCGATCGAGTTAACATGCAGAATATATGCATTCATTCGTATATAGTTTTGATCGAGACACAGAATATGTATGCTGCAGGATGCTGCATTGTCGTTTAGCTTCGATCGAGTAAACATGTAGAGTATGCGTTCATTCGTATAGTTCTGATCAAGACACAGAATATGTATGCTGCAGGATGCTGCATTGTTGTTTAGCTTCGATCGAGTAAACATGCGGAATATGCGTTCCGTTCATCGTATAGTTTTATCGAGTAACAGAATATATGTATGCTGCAGGATGCTGCATTGTCGTTTAGCTTCGATTGAGCATACATGCAGAATATGCGTTCATTCGTATAGTTTTGATGCATGACACAGAATATGTCGTTTAGCTTCGATCGAAATTCACCGACACCAACTTTGCATGCATGGCTATGTTTTCCGTTTTATTCGCCGCGAAAATTGGCAAGCGCCAGGCGACTATAATAATAATTTAGTTAAATCGCATCACAAGCAGTTTGCTTGGGTATAATTCAACTCTTGAGGGAAAAAAATATTTAGAGCGAAGCTCGTCGATATAGACGGGAAAATGTAAATATTTTTCCTATGATAAAAAATGAAGTGTTTTAATATTGCATTTCATGTAACCACAATGAAACAACGAAATCCTGTTTGGTTTACCAGCTTGTCGCCTTTATGTTTGAAAGCACCGGAAGACAAACATCTCAGTGTGTATTCCTATACAGCTACGTCAAAATTTCCGGGTTTCAACTGGTAGTTTCTGTGCTTTGAACGTAGGCAAAACGTTGCTAAACTCACTGATTCAAAACAGAATCGCAAATTACATGCAATTCAGTGCCAGTGGGCTTAAATTTTCTGCAACAAGTATATCGTGACATTTTCCACTCTTATGGCTAGTTAAGCAGATTCATGCTGTGATCACATGCAGGTGCGAATTTTAATTATGGCACATCTTTTTTTGTGTGTTTCAATGGAATGAATGAATGGCTTGTTATATATTATGAAGTTCGTTATCTGAACATTTAAAACTCTTTCTCTTCCTTACATCTATCTGAAGAAGATGATCGTAGTACCGCGAAGTCCGCCGGTTTGAACTGGCGTGTTTATGTGTGTCAAGCATTGAACTTCCGGCATTGCCAACATGTTGGTAAATTCCAACAGATCACCTCATTTTCGGAAGTTTGAAAGTACCGAAGTTGGCGGTTAATTTGTACCCAACCATTTCTTCATTGTGCAACCTAATGGTATGTAAAATACATAAAGAAATGAGCTGAAGGAAGACGACGCTTGCAACAATCTTCACGGCGAGATATCTTAGCTAATTTCCATATCGACAACTTAAAAGTCGTGTGTTCGGCAAGTTGAGATCAATTCTAGTTTGGACTGAAAGGGGAACTTGAAGAAAGAAAAACTGAAGAAAGAAGATATTGATCACTCGAAATAATGAAGTTTTCCATCGCAGTTCTATTCGTACATGTTTTGGTGATTTTTCTGTCCCCATCAGGTGTGTTCTCGTATCATGTCTTCATCTTTGTGTTATTGCCGCGTAACTACAATCAATGCATATGGGAGTATTTAAACACTCCTTAACAGTCAGAATTATCAGAATTCTGTACTTTTCAATGGTTTTCCAATGAGAAGACTAATTCTTCACTATGGTTTAATTACAAAGGGCAACTTCTATGATTCTACATTCGACCTTTTTAGATTATCGAAAGCATTACAGAATAAATAATTTGACTATTTTTATCCGTATATAACTTTTTAGCGTATGGAGCAGAAAGTGACGTGGTTCGAATTTTTGACGAGAATTTAAAATTGACCGAGAAAGAGGTGGAAGAATACATGAAGCAAGCGGATCTGGAAAAATATGGTTTTAAGAGAACCGAGGAAACCACGACTGAAACGGATGAAAATGGAGAGAAAAGTACAAAGAGAACTATCTACTACAGGGTCACTGATGATTGTTCTCGAGTTATGTTCTGGGAAGGAATCCTTGAACAACGCTTGCCAGAGAAATTGAGAAATCTGAATATCTTTTCAACCACCGTACGAGAAGTTCAAAAACGTATTGCTGGCAGGAAGACAAAGGAATGCACAGTCGGTTTAGAGATCCATCCAGATCGCTGTCTCAAGTCCAGTGGAAGCAAACGTCGTGTTGCTAGAGGTTGCAGTTGGTGCGGCATCTGCAGTAATGCGGTCATCGTTTACGGCAACTAAAGTTTTTTATTGGACGATTGTAAACGGAAAACGGACTAAGTGTCTTGATAGAATAATGTACTAGTATTCTAGTAATCTACTTTGTAGTTTCTAAAGTTGTGTAGTCGTGTAGTTTTGTAGTAAAGTTGTCTTGCAACATAAATAGCAATAGAGTCAAATAAATGAACATTTCAAAATGCATCAAAATAGTGTTTTTTAATTTATATCAAATTTTTGAAGTCCTAATAATTATATTCTCCTCAAAAATTGCCCGGCTTAGCCGCAAAAATTCCTCTCTCTGCGCAAAACTTGGCGTATTCTCGCAAAAATGATAATAAGCAAATATATCAATGTTTTTGAACCGATTGATAGTACTGAAAAGAAAGTTAAGGATCTTGAAAATTTTTATAAGTATTCCAGAGATTATCACATACCACTTAAAGTTAATTACTCCGGCGTTAGCGACGGAATTTTTTTTGGGTTTTTTTTTGTTTTTTTTTTGTTATTTTTCGTCGTCGCAAGTTTATTTTGGCGCGAAATATACTGTATTTGAAAAGTGCATGTGACCGTATTTATCTACGTCACAGTTTTTTCTCCCAAGAGTTGTGGTGCACAACTCGAAATCTTTGGCTAATTTTCCGATGCCCGATTTGATTTCGCTCGCATGATACGGCAATTCCTCCAAAAGGAACAAATAAACCGTTCTTTTGATGCTGTTCGATTAAGTTTAGATTTAATTGGGGTAAAAATATATCTAATATATGTAGATTCTGGTCCTATTTTAATAATATCGCTGCTATTTCGCCGTTTAACAAGATGATGTGGTCGTGTATGACCACATCGCGTAGACACGTCGCAGTTTGCACAGGTTAATGTAAGTGCGAAGTGTAATTTCAAAGTGTAAGACAAAGTGAACGTATCATGCAGTTTATTTACATTTTTGAACAATTGAATTTCTATGCTACGATGTGCTTTTGAATGTCGCGATCGAACAACATTTAGGTTCGCAAGGCATCTAAATGAGTATTATAACTGTATTGTTTATGTTCCGAAGCTTCACATTGAAGACTGGCACGTGCACAGCACGCCGGAGTTAACGCCAAAACATTGCAGAGATAAGAACCGCCTACCTCTTGAAAATAACACTTCATGAATTCATCTTGCGTCTGAAAGGAAGTTCAAATTATATTAAGACTCGCTCTGAGGCGCTGAATCCTCAGAATCCAACTTTTTATGAATCGTTTCACGTTTTGTTCAACGTTTTCAGAGATTCTTAAATTGAATAATTAATGACTGAATTAAATAAACTTGCAGTATACTTAAATACTAACGTTTACTATAAATAATTCGGTTTCACTCAACTTTCACAATACATCACTGTCTGACTTTTGCCGAGGGTCTAAGTTCGAGGATCGAGGGCTTAAGTCGAGGGACGAGGGAAATATTATATTTATAATTCAATTAAACATGGAAGGTATCTCAAATGAAATGCGACTAGTATTTCAGTTGCTAGGGCTGCTTTCCACTGTTACGTTTTTTAACGCGCGCAAAAATTTAAATGCTTCCAAATTTTTATTCAGGCACGGGTCGAGGAATGCATACTAAAATATGCGGAAAACTAGGTTCTTTCAATTTATTCGTCTATAGCGAAATACACAATGATTTAGGCCCTAAGTATCTTGCGTCAGACCGTGCTACGGTGCAAATATTTTGACATTCGACCCTCGACAGACACCAAAACTAAACTTTTTTAACAATTTTTTATTGGTACGCGGTGGATATAGCGGCATCCAGCGACCAGCTTTATTCCATGCATACAACGTTGAAGACTTAACTTTTGCAAGACCGAAGAAAATTTACTTGTACATATTATCACTATACACAGGGGTGGATCCAGCACTAGTGCACTAATTTGCATGTCACAAGAAAACTGCTAAAAATAACCACTTTGTTTTGTAATGCAAATTTGTGCACTAGTGCTGAATCCACCCCTGACTATACATGTCTAGAAACATTCTTTCTCATAAAGCATCTTTCTCATAGTGGGATTTAGAATGTATCGATGTTCGTCTCATTTTAACTTGTTTTTCCTAAGATGATATAAGAAGGAGACTCGAATCCTCCCGAATTTCGTCATCTTGTGCTATGGTATGTTTGTTTCAGCTTCTATTGGATCTGTTGAGCATTTTGACCTTGCAACTGACTTAGAGAAGCCGACAAGGAAGTAGTTGTTGACCTTCTGTCATTGGATAAAACTATTTTTGTTGACGGAGTCTTGGGAAAATTCTGCCATCGCAGAAGCGGTTACATGCAGTACTGGTTACATTCATTCGTGAGCTCTTTATACGAGCTCCTAGGCGATCTGTTGATATCTTTACATTCGTATTCGCTGCGTATAGCCATTACAGTGTGACCATATATGAATATCTTATAAGCAAAGCTGCTTAAATCTTGTCTGATGCCCCTTCCTGGGATAAATTTGGTCATTATTAAAATCCGACCGAATCTAGTAGCATCAAGTTCAAAGTTCATCTCCAAAAGCCAGCGAATGCATGGTATATTTCTTTTTAGTATAAACTGACTAATAGGCTATCACTTTTCCTGCGTTCTGATTGGCTACGCTACTGGTAGGCTATTAGTGATAGCCTACTAGTAGCAAAATTCAAAACAATGGCGGAAAATTCGCGTTTCGCCGAAGTATCTGAAGATTTTTTGGACGACTTGTTGGACAATTCCGTACCAGAAAAAACAAAAAAAGCAACAAAATACGGAATTGCAATTTTTAAGGGTAAGAAAATACATAAAAATAACGTATACTCAATTGAATTTTTATATTTAAACTGAATTTTAAAACATTTTACGCGAACAACAATTAAAATATTTTCTTCCTTTAATATACGAAATAAATTTCAGAATGGTTTGCAAGCCAACAAGAATTTTATATTGTGTTTCCTAGTTGTAAATTAATGTTATAGTTTATACTAAAACAATTAGACAACTCGGCCTCGTTGTCTATGAGCAAATAGTCAACTCGGCTTCGCCTCGTTGACTATTCGCTCATAGACAACTCGGACTCGTTGTCTAATTGTTAAATAATATTATCAGAACTTTATCAAAATAAATGTGTAAACTTTTGTTAAACTCCTCGTCACAAATTCTGACTGAAATATGTCAGTTGACATGAATACACATTGAATTTAGCAAAGCCAATCAGATTACGCCAAAACTCATATACATACAGTAATTAGTCATATTGTGAATATGTTTATTCTCAAAACTGTACATGCAATGGATGTCATCACTCAAAATTTCTCATTGAATTTTCCTTGCACCTCAATTACTACTTTGTTGTTGAAACGAAGAAGACAATAAAGTGCAGATAAATTGGTCGAAGATAAAGTCGACTGGACGAAACTTCGTATTGCGATATACTCGTGCGAATTTACGAATCAACTCGTTGCAGAGATAAGAACCGCCTACTTCTTGAAAATGCCATTATGAATTCATCTTGCGTTTGAGAGGAAGTTCAAATTGTCACTCGCTCTGAGGCGCTGGATCTTCAAAATCCAACTTTTTATGTACAATTGTTTCACGTTTTGTTCAACGTTTCACAGACTCCTAAATTATATTGAATAATGACTGAATTAAATAAACTTGCAGTATACTTAAATGCTAACGTTTACTATGAATAATAGGTTTCACTCAACTTTCACAAACATCACTGTCTGACTTTTGCCGAGGGTCGAAGTTCGAGGATCGAGGGCTTAAATCGAGGGTCGAGTGAAATATTGAATTGATAATGCAATTAAACATGGAAGGTATTTCAAAAGTCCCAAACTGAATCCCGTTTTCCGCATTTGATGCCATTTCGATTTTTGCATGAAATGCGACTAGTATTTTAGTTGCTAGGGCTGTTTTCCACTGCTGTGTTTTTTACGCGCGCAAAAATTTAAATGCTTCCAAATTTTTGTTATTACACGGGTCGAGGAATGCATACTAAATAAAATATGCCACTATCTGACTACGGCATTTTAAGAAAACTTCGTAGTCCTCACTACGTAATTTAAAAGCAATAAAAGTTGACATTTTCTCGTTTTCTCCATAAGATAATTTGCGAGAACTGTTTTTCATGACCGTTGCTTTTGATTATGTACTGATATTTTTCGAAATAGCAAGCGTAAAATTTCCGAAATATTTGACAGGTTAAACATGCGTGTTTCCCAAGCTTTATCATGTCGGCACGAGGTGGCGTATGCATACAACGTTTGTTTCGCGCCACAGTGACGAATCTCGTAGACGTAGCGGGAACCGTAGTCGAATCTAAAGCTCTCTACTTGCGTCAGGCCGTGCTGCGGTGTACATATTTCGACACTCGACCCCCGATCCTCGACAGAAACTTAAACTAAACTTTTGGCACACGGTGACAATTTTTTTATTGGCACACGGTGACAATTTTTTTATTGGCACACGGTGGATATAGCGGCATCCAGCGACCAGCTTTATTCCATGCATACAACGTAACCCCCGCCAAAATGTCGCATGTCTTATTCAAGAAATGGATATGATCCTAAATATTTTCATAGCTATACTTTCGGGAAGTCTTTAGAATTCCCACGGAAGTTGACATCGCGAATTAAATTGTGGAAGGCAAATAAATGAACGGCTACCTGGAGAAGCCAGCTGGAGGAAGACAAACACCTGTCGATAATCCCCAGGATGAGACATCTCCGACTCCGGCGCACGTGCCAGTCTTTAATATAGAGCTTCTGAACATAAACAATACAGTTCATATTCGCATTTAGATACCTTGCGAACCTATAATTATAAATGTTCGATCGCGAAATTCAGAAGAACATCGTACTTTAAAAAGTATAGAAGTTCAATTGTTCAAAAATGTAAATAAACCGCATGATATATTCGCTTTGTCTTACACTTTGCCTTTGGAATTCGCGCTTATATAGTTATATAAAATCTTTAATCCTGTGCAAACTACGACGTGTCAACGCGCCCATACACGATCACATCTTGTTAAACGGCGAAATAGCAGCGATATTATTAAAATAGGACCAGAATCTACATGTATTAAATATATTCTTACCCCAATTCAATCTAAACTTAATCGAACAGCGTGAAAAGAACGGTTTATTTGTTCCTCTTGGAGGAATTGCCGTATCATGCGAGCGAAATCGAATCGCGCATTGGAAAATTAGCCAAAGCTGTGCACCACAACTCTTGGGAGACAAGACTGGGACGTACATAATTACAGTCACATACACATTTTAAATACTAGTATATTTCGCGCCATTACAGACTTGCGACGACGAAAAATAAAAAAAAATAAATAAAAAAACAAAACAAAAACAAAACCGAGGCGAATTTTCAACTCCGTCGCTGACGCCGGAGTAATAACGGGTATATACGCATTACGTCTTCCTTAGAATTGTACGGGCATTTTTAATTGAAGAACAGAAGATTGTTTTTCGCGTATTTGAGTGAAACTGTGAAAGAAGATGACGAAAGAAAGCCTTGAAGCAATTCTCGAGTTTTCGTTTCTGTGACTTGTTCTGTCATTTTGACCTTGGAACTGACTTCCGAAAGCATAGACAAGGCGGTGTCTGCCCTGACTCTTCATTGTGACATGCATGGAAAAATTATGCAACCACACACCATCTACAACACCGGTCTTTATTGTGTGAAAGAATACTTCCTACGACTGGTTTCTTCCTTATAACTGCCAGTGGCTTGTTAGATATAATGAAAGAAACTGACCGTCTCAATTTGCTGATGGTAGTAATGTAGCAGAATTGGCTCATCAGAATCTTCAGAAATTTAAAAACCTGAAACGCGCGGCAAACATGAAATCTCATTAGATTTAATTAGGAATTCATTGACATGCACTTAATTTGATCTTTGGTATAAATCTAGTATAAATATTTACTCGTATGAATTAACATCTAAATGCTGTGCAATATCAAGCCCCGCGTTTACACTGCACTCGATTTATTGGCACGGCACGGCTAAAATGGGTACCCGTGCCCATTTAATTTAAGGTGCCCGGTTAATTTCCGTGCGAAGCGCTGCAAAAGGAACGCACAGTCGGCCTGGAAATCCGCACAAATCGATTTCACACTGGCACTGAAAAAACGGCTTCCGAGTGTAGTATGAACAAACATGCAATGCGAAAGCATAAGGTTGCCGCTGGTGATCTGTCAATGGATCTTTCCCCTTTCAAGCGCGCCTTTCAAGAGTTTTCAAGCGCGCAATGCGTGACGGTAGTTGATTCTCAAGGTCAATATGAGTTGTTATTTCGCCACGTTCAGGAATGATTTAGTTTAATAAAGAAGCAAAAAGAATCGGCAAGGTTTTCTTGCAAAAAAAATCGCTTCAAAGCTGGCGGTATTGTAACTCAAATTGACCTTGATAATCCACTACCGTCGCGCATTGCGCGCTGGAAAGCTAAAAGGGGAAAGGTCTATTGCCATATTTGCTAACATTTAACGGGAATCCTGACTCGTTCGACACGCCCCTAGATATTTCGTTAATTGTGGCGGCAAATAAATGAATAGCTACCTGGAGAAACCAGCTGAAGGAAGCTAACGCCAGTCGGTAATTCCTCGATGAGACATCCCAGTCATTTTCCAAATCGATAGCATAAAAGACGTGTGTTCGGCAAGCTCGGATCAATTCTAGTTTGGTCCGAAAGACAACCTTGAGGAAATAAGAGATTGAAGAAAGAAGACTTTGAAGAAGACAAGCAAATCAAGAAGATGAAGTTTGGCATCGCAATTATTGCTGCTTTGGTGATTTTTCTTTCCCCATCAGGTGTGTGTGTAAGCATATTTTTGCCTTTATCGGTGTTATTGCTTTTTTCTTTAATGCATCTTCCAAAAACGCCAAATGCAGCTATACACTTAGACACAAATTAGCCTTTCTCACGATGACGAATATGCCGCCATTGCAGGGGTACTTTTTTTCAAAACTGTGAACATAAGACCTCGTAACGGCAACTGTCTTTAATTCTATAGGCTGGATTTATTCTTCAAATGATTCTAAAAGAGTCCTGTTTCCAGCGCGACTTACCTCTTTATTGTATGTTTTAGTAAACGGTGCGGAAAGCGACGTGGTTCGTGTTTTTGACAAAAAGACGCAGATGAGTGGCGAAAAAGTGATGGAATACCTGAAGCAGGCTGACCTCGAGAAGTATGGATTTAAGAAAACCGTCGAAGAGTCCACGGAGACTGATGAAAATGGTAAGATAACCAAAAAGACGACCATTTACTATTTGGTCACCGATGATTGCTCCAGGGTTTGGTTCTGGGAGAGCATTTTGGAGCAACGTTTGCCAGCAGAGTTGAGAAACTCGAAGCTCGCTTCAACCATCGTGAAAGAGGTCAAAGATCGTATCACCGGTCGCAAGACAAAGACCTGCAAAGTTGGCCTGGAAATTCATCCAAATCGTTGCTCAGGAAAAGCTTGCGGAAATGACCGGGGCAAACGTGGTATCGCAGGTGCCATGCATTTTTTCTGTTGGTCTGCCTCCATTAATTACGCTAATTAACTAGCTTACCAACTGTCATTTTAAAGGCTTTAATAATCATTTGGAAATGGGACGAGAATAAGGACTAAGAGTTGATATTAAATAATTGTGTAGTGTTTTGTAGTATTTTGAACTACTGTACTAACGGTATAGTTTTTTGTCAGTATATCAAATAAACGCATATTTAGCTCGGCATATTGTTTATTTTTGCTTCAAAATATACTATTAGTATATAGGCACAGTGGTCAGTAGCGTAACTGGGGGGTTAGTACGTGTGATGGCTGCTTTCTATACTGTCGCGTATTTTACGCACGGAAAATTTTAGATGCTTCCAATTTGTTATTATTTCACAACCATTTTCAACAAATGCATACTAAAATATGCGGAAAACTAAGCTCTTTCAATTTATTCACCTATTTTTAACACCTGAAATTCCGATTCGTCTCGCGTATTCGCTCAATCTCAGACCAAACCATTAACTTTGACAGTAGCTCATTATTTGCTGTCTGTTTATTATTTCGGCGAAGTCTTGAATACGACGACAATAATATACACAGTAAACTGAATCTAAACGCGCAGTTTTGGCAATGTAAAGGCAAACATTCATTATCGAAGCACAATAATGTCAATATATAGATATAATTAAAAACTGCGTGCATTTAAAGATGACAGGATCTCTGGGGGTCTTGAGTAAAAGTGGCGCCCTTTCAAGGACTCCTTCAATTAGGTAAATATCCACGCGGTATACAATTAAATCTCCTGTCGGCCGTCTGCAAAGGCGCACGACTGTATACCCATGAAAATATGGATTATGGACGCCAGATCTCTGACGCAGTCTGCATGCTAGCAGTGAAGATGTTTATTATTAATTCTGTGGCTAAGGCCCGCACACTAGAGATGCGATTCGAATTTTCAGTTTTCAGAAGCAAATAAATTCAATTCTGGATGAAAATTTTAAGAGTTATGGCATAACACCAGAAAAATTCGTAAAATTAAATCACGCCACGTCGCGTTGATGTCACCACGGATTCATCGATAAAAGCTAGTGGGATTGGCAGAAAAAGAGCCACTCACGCAAGGTCTACGACTACTTACGAAACCAAACCGAGACCATGTCATCCACGTCTTATCATTCTCGAGACTTTCTGGATTTGAACGACCAACCCGGCTGTTTGTGTGTTGAATACGTCAATCCCACGAACGCCGTGTTTAGAAGAATTCGAGAATAGTTCTCTAAATTGTTTTACAAATGTTATTTCACCTGACCTGAACTGCATGGTTGTCCGTTTCAAATTTTCCCATAAGTTTTCATCCTCTACGGAAATCTCGCCCCAAAGCTGAAATTTTTATAATTGCTATTTAATTCCCATACACACTTGGGTTAACGTTCTGAGTCGGGCTAAAACCTAATACATATTCATTCCCGCGAACATAAACGGCATAAGATAAACGGTTGATACCATAGGCGGCCCAAAATTGGCGGCCGAAAAATTTTTCGGCAATTTGTCAATGTAATGTATAATATATATAATTATATATTATACATTACATTGACAAATTGCCGAAAAATTTTTCGGCCGGTAATTTTGGGCCGCCTATGTTGATACTTGAAGCGCTGATTTAATTAGCTCATTAGTTTAAAATTGTCTGAATTTTTAAATATATTTTTATCTCTAGGCTGGATTTTAATTTTAAATAAACTCCTTCCAACTCAGGCAAAGCAGTATTTGTTAATCAACTTCATGCCGTAACTAGTGTGGCATTTTTTCGCCTCAATTCTTCGCCTTGTTTAACCGGTTTAAATTAACTCAACTCGTTATGCCGTTGTAATACTCGCCATGCAAAACAATACATTAAGGCCCGTTCACACGATCCGATTTGTCGGATCCGATTGTATCGGTTCCGATTTTTGGCTGACTGTTCAGACGATCCGATAGTTTTTTTGACGGGCTTAAGGGGGAGGTAGGTGGCCTGCGTATAGGTGTTTCAACCATGAACAAATACCCAAAATGAGGTTTAAATCAATGGGTTTAAATGGCTGACGAGGAAGCTAAGAAAATAATTGGGATTGTTGGTGTGGAATAAAAGCTCCCTTTCGCTCCACAGAGAAATAAGCTTTTCAGTTTCTTCGTCTGCATGTCCATTTTCTTGCTTGGTCTTTTCTCTTTCCTTTTGCTTTCGGTTGCTGTTCTTGCACCGTCGTTGGCGTGTTTTCAACAACACCAGAATTATCAGTCAATCCGGGAGCAGCAGCCATTTGTGTTATCTAATTTTTCGCGCCAAATTAAATTTGGGAAGTATGGAGAGTGAGAAGTCTGGGGCTAGTCGGCTTTCTTTCATCTTGTCGGATGAAAATAGAGCAAGTTCTATTTCCATCCGATTTTTTAGACTGACGGATCCGACTGTCGGAAAGTAACTTTATAGGTGTTCACACGATCCGATTTTTCGGAACCGATACAATCGGATCCGACAAATCGGATCGTGTGAACGGGCCTTTAGAAAGATAAGAACCGCCTACTTCTTGAAAGTGACAATTTAAAGGAGTAGCATTTTACGAGGAAATTGAATTCGGGTCAGGATCTTCAAGATCCAACTTCATGTGTATAATGATGGTTTACGTTTTGTCCATCATTAATATTGTCATAGAAACACTAACATTATATTGTTTCCAGTTTCCTATAGATATTTCGCACGTGTAAAGCCTTTCTGTTCACACGATCCAATTTTGTGTGATCCAATTCACTTCTGATGGATGTTCTATAGTCTGTTGATTGGCAAAGCATATATGAGCAGCAAATCAACTAAAGCCAAGACTGTACAATTACTGTTATCTATCACTTTTTGGGTGGAAATATGGTCTATCGTATAGTTTATAAGTCATTTTCTAACATGAAAATTGTTTGCTCATGCAGTATATGTTCGATTGTATTCAAATGAGTCTGTCATCAATATTCATCAACATTCAAGTACATCGGTCCGTTTGAAGCACTCGCATCTCATTTAGTATTTGACAGCTTAGACTAAATGTAAACCAGTAATATATTGTGTAGAAATGTTAGTTAAGTTTACTTACCGCAGCGTGAAATGACTGAAATCGCAGACGTCCATTTTGCTCGAGATTACACCCCTTGCAATTTTAGACCGAGATCTTCATAAATCTTGCACCAATGGCCAGACTTTGTATGACGCTTGTGGCAAACGTTGTACGTGCCAGAATGGAAAACTGGTCAAATGCTGTAGACTTCAAAAATAACAAGACGCCTGTTCTGGCGTTAACTCCGGCGTGCCGTGCACATGCTAGTCTTCAATATAAAGCTTCTGAACATAAACAATACAGTTCATATTCATTTAGATGCCTTGCGAACCTAAATGTTGTTCGATCGCGAAATTCAGAAGCACACCGTACTTTAAAAAGTATAGAAGTTCAATTGCTCAAAAATGTAAAGTATGCTCTGAATCAACTCTTGTTCAACCTAGCCGCCGGGGCAAGAGAGGATGCCAAGAAAATACTTATCTCTCTAGTGCACGGCAGATCCAACGCGGGAGTCCAATTAGAGGCTATAGCTACTACAATGCGTAACTACGGTGTGGCGTCTTATGTTATTGGTTTAACGAAAGATAGGAACATGGAAAGTGAGCTAAAGTCGATTGCTGGTGGATACTCGTCCAGAGTGCTTTATGAGTCCGATTATGGAGGCTTAAATGAAGTAATTGACGAAATATATGGAGGTGAGCGGATTTATAGTCCAAATGAAATACATGCCTGTGATAAAAATATCATTAGTGGTGGCGTAGGAGAAACATTTTTTTTTTTAATCAGTCTAGATTATAAATTTCCAAAAATGCAAATATTTCGCCTTTGAAGCATCTCTAGCGCATGTAACAAGTTCTTCTCGACTGTGAAAAATAGTCTCAATATATATCTTATGTCTTAAATTGTATTTAAATCATCCCGTCATTCGTGTTTATTATCACTTAAATACATCGGTCACATTTGACGTATACTCACGACGGCTTGAACTAAATGTAAACCAGGCATATTATGCAATGTATAGTTATCCTAGCCTTGGTGTTGTTTGTGAGATTTGATCCTATTTAGACGTGGATCTTGCATATCAGTCCTGCACCAATGGCCAGACTTTTTATGATGAATGTGGCAGACGTTGTGAACTACAGGATGGGAAATTGGTCAAATGCTGCAGACTTCGTAAAGAATTCACTGATATGAGCTGCGAAGAGAGGATCCGCTACATCAACACTGTGAAAACAGCCTCCACCCACCCAGTGTACAAACCTCTGTACGACAATCTTACAGGACTGCATAAAACTGTCTTTTATGGTTATGGAATCCACCAAAAAGACTTCTTCCTTCCCTGGCATCGCTGGTACATATTACAATATGAAAATTTGCTTCGAAAGATCGATTGTCGCGTCACCGTTCCGTACTGGGATTGGAGCCTGGTAGCTGGTGATCCTTGGTCGAGCTCAATATGGAACACTGGTGACGATGGATTTGGTGGAAACGGAGTGCCGTGGCAGAGGTGTGTTAATACTGGTCCCTTCAAGGCAACGGTTTGGTCGCTTCCTGCAAGCGCTGGGGAAGGTTGTCTAAGAAGAAACTTTACTGGCTTCGTACCGGACGCAATCACGGTTAAAAATGTGATCACGATACTGTCAAATTTCAACCAATTCGAATATATATTGCGAAACGCATTCCATAACGGTGTTCATTGCTCTATAGGCGGAACAATGTGCAGCAATGATTCAGCGACAGCTCCTGAATTTTTCCTTCATCACGGCTTCGTCGATAAAATCTGGTGGGATTGGCAGAAGAGTCACACGTGCAAGGGTTACGACTTCTTCCACGACCAAACCGGAAAAATGCCATTCACGCCCTATCGTTCACGAGATTTTCTCGATTTAAAAGATCAACCAGACTGTGTGTGTGTTGAATACGTTGATCCGAAAAACGACGTGTATGGAAGAATTAAAGGTTTGTCTTAAAAATACATTTGAAATTCCCCTTTTATGCATGCTTTCTACTGCGTGGAAAAAACCCTTTAAAAATTGTGACTTGAATTCCTGTGAACTGATCTGTTAAAAGAAATAAACACATGGGCCAAAGACGGGAAAACACAACGGAACTAAATTTTCTTGAATAAGTATAAATCGCCTAAGTCAAGAAAATTAAGTGTATTTGATTTCATTGTGTATACATTCATATTACTAAGACTAGCCTAATTTCTAAGGATCTGATCTTCTGCTGTTTTATGCACTAAAAATTTCTGCATATATCGGATTTATTTGTATATAAATTTTAATACAGACAACTCTCTAATTCAAACATCTTACCAATAAGTACACCTCTCCCCTTCAATCCCATAAAAACAAATCTCAAAACAGATTCAGTCTGCATTCAAATACATAATGAAGTCATTACATTAATACTGATATCAAACTCAGACTTAATGTTAAGCCCGTTTTCCACAAGGTGAATTTACTCGCGCGACGCGAAGCGATATTTGAAATCCGGTGATTGGTTTCAGTAGGAAGGTAGAAACCTTCCTACTTTTTATGCGTTTGCGCGAATAAATTCTCCAAGTGGAACACGGGCTTTAGACCTGTTAGCTTGCTATTACAAAAATAAAACGAAATTATATTGCCAATATATTTTATGATAGTTATGTCCCAGAAAATCATTCCGAAAACGCCACGATCAAAACTTCCCCCGGTATCCGACGATGCAAAGAGTTTGTTCAATGTCTCCGAGGCGGAAATGGGAACACTTTCACAGTTCGAAGCTAAAATTCAGCCCAAACTTGTTCAGGAAAGGAGCTCCTTACGTGGAAAGGAAGCAATGCTTGGTTTCAATTCAAGTTACTTATACTAAGGTAAATACTAATAGTAATGTAAGAACTATTACTAGCACTAGTATACCATATAACAATAGTACCATATTCTTTACTTCAGGGAAAGATCATTATTCATAACTACAACATATAGCAACAATTGGGACTCCTTAATTAAGTTTAACTTAGTCAGTGTGATTAGTCTTAGCTATAGAACGTTATATATAATTTTGAAGATAGTAAGCAGAATTTATACGTTTTGTTTTGCGGATCAGCTTTGGCCTCAAACCTCAGCCACATAATTCATCAAGTACGTGATGCAGAAATGCAATCATGCTTGCACAATTTCCTTTTTCATCTATAACGCATATGATAATTATATATGCCCTAATTATATATACTCGCATAGTCGTAAACTTATAGATAGCGATAGTTTCAGCATGCAGTGAGACACATTGGTAACGGCGAAAAATAGGCGGATATACTTACACCTGCATGGGCATTAACTCTAATTCCTATCAACAAATCTCTACACGTTTAAATCTAGATGTTATCAAATAATGAATAAAATAAACTTGCAATACTGCATGAAAGCCTCGCGAATGTTTATACAATTTCTACAATGCATCACAGAGTTAATTCCGGCATAACCTGTGACATAACTTCTAATATGTTTTTCCTGAAAGTAAATAAAATGAGACTGGAATCCTCCCAAATTTCGTCATCTCGTGGTGTGGCATTTGTTTCACTGCTTTTTTTGGACCTGTTGAGCATTTTGACCTTGCAACTGATTTAGGGAAGTCAATATAAGGAATTGTTTTGAGCATTATTCTGGCATTTGATGAAACATGTTTTTGTTGACATGGTCTTGGCAAAATTGTGCCATAGCAGAAGCGTGTCACATGCAGTTCAGGTTATTTAAAATTTATTCGCCAACTGTATTACGAGTCTTTAGTCTATTGGCATCTTTACAATTTGTTTTCTCCACATTTCAACTTTAACACATATAGGCCTGGACCTGGTCCAGGCCAGGTCAAAGCATGCACGTGTAAACGCGGCAATCTAATGATCCGTGTTTCAAATTTCTACATCCGGTTTATCTTCAAAATAAGCTAGATAAAATGTCATAACTCAAGGCACAAATATATCATATTATATCATATCACAAATATATAATTCCTTCACGATACCTGACCTGAACTGCATGGTTGTTCATGGTTGTCTGTTTCAATTTTTCTGGTAAATTTTCATTCTCTACTACGGAAGTCTCCGGCTCTCGGCTGTCTCGCGCACAAGTCTCAAATTTTTAAATTTGCATGGTTAATAATTCCAATACACACTGGGGAGACTAGGTTAAAGTTGGAGAGTCGAAATCGAGAACACAGAATATGCGTGCATGCATTGTTGTTTAGCTTCGATCGAGCACACATGCAGAATATGCGTTCATTCGTGTAGTTTTGATCGAGTACACAAAATATGTTTGCAGTGTTGTTTAGCTTCGATCGAGCACACATGCAGAATATCGGTACACTCGTATAGTTTTGTGGATGACACAGAATATGTATGCAGTGTCGTTTAGCTTCGATCAAAATTCACCAACTTTGCATGCATGGCTATGTTTTCCGTTTTCGGAATATTCGCCGCGAAAATCGGCAAGCGCCAGGCGACTATAATAATAATTCAGTTAAAACGCGGGCAAGCAATTTGCATGGGTAAAATTCAACACTTGATGGGAAAAAATATTTAGAGCGAAGCGCGTCGGTACAGACGGGAAAATGTAAAATATTTTTCCCAAGATAAAAAATGAAATGTTTCAATATTGCATTTCATGTAACCACAATGAAACAACGAAATCCTATTTGGTTTACCAGCTAGTTGCCTTTATGTTTGAAAGCACCGGAAGACAAACATCTCAGTGTGTATTCCTATACAGCTACGTCAAAATTTTCGGGTTTCAACTGTAGTTTCTGTTCTTTGAACGTAGGCAGAACGTTGCTAAACTCACTGATTCAAAACAGATTCGCAAATTACATGAAAGTTCAGTGGGTTTAAATTTTCTGCAACAAGTATATCCACTCTTATGGCTATAGTTAATGGCCTTCTGAAGTGCTTACGTCACACAGTTTTCTATCTATACAATTTTGTCCCACTTGTTTCCCAGATTGCATTGCGATTTATTGTTCGAGACCGACATGACGTAAGCACCTCAAAGGTCTATTAAGACTCGTAGATTCGTGCTGTGATCACATGCACGAATTTGACCAATCAGAATGTAGGATTTGTTATATTCACTTGTGCAAAAATACTAATACTGAACATTGTTATGTAACATCATCGGAGTGACGGAGTATAAAGCATGACAATGTTCATCTCCCTTAACTTCAGGTCTATATTCTTTCGGATATTTACTGAGTTGTGTCATATAGATATTTCTGATCTATATACGTACAAGTGCACTGTACACTTTTAATGCGCTTCGACTCTTGGCCCTCATACAAATCCTTACAACAAACTCGGTCATCACTCGACCTCATTTCGTCTCATTTTGACTTGTTTTTCTAAAGAGAAAATAAAAGAGACTCGGATGCCCCCAAATTTCGTCATTCTTGTGGTATGGCATTTGTTTCAGCTTTTTTTGGGATTTTGACCTTGCAACTGACTTAGGGAAGTCAACAAGGAAGTAGTTATGAATATTCTGTCATCATAGATGAAACTATTATTGTTGTCAGAGTCTTGGGAAAATTCTGCCATCGTAGAAGCGGGTCACATGCAGCATTGGTTACATTTGTTCACCAACTCTTTTCCTTCATCTATTGGGCATCCTCACGATTCGTACTCTCTGCATTTCATTTAATCCGAAGGCACAATTTTCATATCAATGACCCAAGTTTCAAATTTCTATATGTTTATCTTCAAAATAGGCTAGATATGAAATATCAGAACTGGAAGTCCAAATATATCATATTCTGTTGGGCCGATTCAAACTGGATCCAACTTCATCTGCAGGTGACATTTATTCACGAACTTTATAATACGATTCCTTGCATGATCTGTTGGCATATTTTTATAATTCCTCCCACTGAATTTCATTTCCGTATTAGCTATACAAGTAAATATGTATATTTCACATATTCATCGCCCCCAGTTTCCGTGCAAATCTCAGTTTATGTTCAGAATAAACTGGGTGAAGGGCCACTCGCTCAAATTAAGAAAAAAAACTAAGTACAGATTGGTTGAAGATGAAATTCAAATTGAAGAAGCTTCGCGTTGAATTGCAATACTCGTTGCGAATTTGCAAAACAATTCGTTGCAGAGATAAGAACCGCCTACTTCTTGACAATGACACTTTATGATGTCATATGGTCTTGAGTGGAGATTCAATTCATGACTCTTCGGGTCTGGTTCTCCAGGATCCAACTTTTTGTGTTTTTTCTTTTTTACGTTTCTTTTTACGTTTTGTCCACCGTTCTCATAGAAACACCAACATTATGTTGAACAATGAATAACATAAACTTGCAATGAAAGATTCACAAATGTTTACACAATTTCTGCAATACATCACACTATAGTCTTGGCATAACTTGTGATTATAACTCACAACTTGTTTTTCCTGAGAGTAAATAAAACGAGACTCAAATTCTCCCAAATTTCGTCATATCGTGGTGTGGCATTTGTTTCAGCTTTCTTTGGATCTATTTGGGGATTTTGACCTTGCAACTGACTTAGGGAAGTAAACAAGGAAATGGTTGTGAACATTCTGTCATTGGGTGAAACTATTATTGCTGTCAGAGTCTTGGGAAAGTTCTGCCATCCCAGAAGCGGGTCACATGCAGTATTGGTTACATCTATTCACCAACTCGTTTACGAGTCATTCATCTATTGGGCATCCTCACGATTCGTGCTCTCTGCATTTCATTTCCGAAGGCACAATTTTCATATGAATGACCCAAGTTTCAAATTTCTATATGTTTATCTTCAAAATAGGCTAGATTAAATATCAGAACTCGAAGTGTAAAAATATCATATTATGTTGGGCCGATTCAAACTGGATCCAACTTCATCTGCAGGTGACATTTCTTCAGGAACTTTATTTTACCATTCCTTGCATGATCTGTTGGCATATTTTTATAATTCTTCCCACTAAATTTCATTTCCGTATTATACAAGTACAAATGTATATTTCACATATTCATCACCCCCAGTTTCCGTGCAAATCTCAGTTTATCTTCAGAATAAACTGGGTGAAGGGCCACTCGCTCAAATTAAGGAAAAAAACTAAGTACAGATTGGTTAAAGATGAAATTCAACTCGAAGAAGCTTCGCGTTCAGTTGCAATACTCGTTGCAAATTTGCAAAACAATTCGTTGCAGAGATAAGAACCGCCTACTTCTTGACAATGACACTTTATGATGTCATATTGTCTTGAGTGGAAATCAAATTTATGAGTCTTCGTGTCTGGTTCTTCAGGATCCAACTTTTTGTGTTTTTTCTTTTTTACGTCTCTTTTTACGTTTTGTCCACCGTTCTCATAGAAACACCAACATTATGTTGAATTATGAATAAAATAAACTTGCAATACTGAAAAATTCACGAATGTTTACACAATGTCTGCAATACATCACAGAGTTAATTCCGGCATAACTTGTGACTGAACTTACAACTTGTTTTTCTTGAGAGTAAATAAAACGAGACTCAAATCCTCCCAAATTTCGTCATCTCGTGGTGTGGCATTTGTTTCAGCTTCTTTTGGATCTGTTGAACATTTTGACCTTGCAACTGACTTATAGGGAAGTCAACAAGAAAGTAGTTTTGATGGTAAAAACTTTTTTGTCCACAGTCAAAATTCTTCTATCGCGGGTCACATGCAGTGCTAGTTACATTTATTCACCTCTTTTCAATGATCCTTAATCTATTGGCTAATTGGCATATCTTTACGATTCGTGCTCTCTGCGTTTCGAAAATATTCAAGTACAATTTTTATATCAATGACCAGGTTTCAAATTACTTTCTGTTTATCATCAAAATAGACTAGATGAAATGTCACAACTCAAACTCCAAATATATCATATTATATGTTAGGCCGATTCAAACTGGATCTAACTTATGTGCACGAACTCTATTGCCATATTTTTATAATTCCTTCCCTCTAAATTTTATTTTTGTTAATATGCAATACAAATGTACAATTCTCATATCCATCGCCTCCAGTTTCCGTGCAAATCTCAGTTTATCTTCAGAATAAACTGGGTGAAGGGCCACTCGCTCAAATTAAGAAAGAAGATTGGTCGAAGATGAAATTCAACTCGAAGAAGCTTCGCGTTGAGTTTCAATACTCGTTGCGAATTTGCAAAACAACTCGTTGCAGAGATAAGAGCCGCCTACTTCTTGACAATGACACTTTATAATGTCATATTGTGTTGAGTGGAAATCAAATTTATGAGTCTTCGGGTCTGGTTCTCCAGGATACGGCAACGCGACGCGAATTTTCCGTTTTCGGAAGCATATAAATTTAATTGGATTCTATTGACGCCAGAGCAGTCAAAATGTATTATCTTAAAGTATCTACAATAATATTGTAGTAACTTCAAATTTATTTGCTTTTGGAAAACGAAAAACTGAAAAATCGCG